ATTGTGTAAACACTGGGGAGAGCAAAGACAAAGACTGGCTGGCATCTACTGAATAATCATCTTGCCACCTTGGTGTTCAGTGCCTCCTCTGAGGTGGATGGTTTGTGAGACACTAGATATTTCATATCTATTTGCATTAGTTTTCTGTGCCGCATAACAAATTGCACAAATTTAGCACCTTAAGACAGATCAGACAGATTCCATAACCAGGGATCCTGGCATAGCTCAACTTGGCAATCAAGTGTTGGCTGAGCTATGCTTTCAACTGGAGACTCAATTTAGGGAAGAATCTACTCCCAACCCCATTCACATTCCTGGCAAAATTCATCTCTTTGCAGTTGTAGCACTGAGGTCCCTGTACCCTTACTATGCTGACCCCTTTGGGCTACTCTCAGCAACTGGAGACCACACACTGTTCCTTGCTCTGTGGTCCTCTCACACAGCAGCTTACTTCTTCCAAGCTAACAAGAAGTTTCTCTCTAGCCTGCTAATATGGAGTCATATATGACCTAACATAATCATGGAGGTGACATCTTTGGTATATTGAGAAGCAAGTCACAGATCCCACTTGTGCTCAAGGGAAGGGGATTATGCAAGAGTGTGACTCACTGGAGGTCACCTTAAGTGTCTTGGCCAAATCACTCATAACTCTAATTACATGCTTCATCCCCAGAACTCTTTATATATTCTGATATTGCTCCTTCTTGCTCCTTGATGAAGCATTCAAAACTGTCGTCCAAATTGCACATGCTAAGCACACGCTCTACACTGAACTACACCCGGTCCCTAACTCTCCTTTCTCACCTAAGATTATTATTTTTCCCCTGTTGGCTTATTCCATTTTCTCTTTCTGTTAGAGAATTATAATACCTATGTCTGTTTACTATCATTACCTAGATGCTAGCATGCACATTTAAGTCTTTGGTTAACCAATATCTTTATACTTTTCTACAAAATGCAAGGTCTTTAGGATGTTTCACCTCCTATGCCATCTGCCCAATGTATATACTCTCATTTTCCATTTTTCTAGTTTTATCTTATTTTTGTTTTTATGTACTCAGTGTTTGCTTAGATTTAGCAATATCTTTGCTTGCTTTATTTCCTTATGTCTTAGACCTACTAGCAGGGATCGTTTTCTCTTTGCCTAAGGCAAATCCTTATAGAGGTATCTGCTGGCAATGACTCTGTTTTTGCCAGTCTGAAAATATTTCATTTTACCCTTATTCTTGAGACATCATTGTTCTGAGAATGCAATCTTGAAAAATATTTCTCCTTCGATGTTGCTTCCAAGGTCAGACATCTATCTAATTGTCATTCCCTTTGCTGTATTCTCTTTTCTTCTAGGTCTGCTTTTAAAGAAGATATATTAATCTTTGGTATTCTTCAGGTTATCATTTTGTTTCTTCACATGGATTTCTTTTCATTTATCCTGCTTCATGATATGTTTAAGTTCCTGAATCTGAGGATTATATTTTATCAATAATTCTGAAAAAATTTTTAGTCACTGTCTCTTAGAATATGCCTTGCTCTTTATTTTTTTTTAAACTCCTTTTGGAACTGTCAGAACTTTTCGTGGTAATAATCATGCTTTAGTCTTTCCTTAATGTTTTCCTAATTTGGGTCTTTCTACTTCATTCTGGCTAATATCTCAACACCTGACTTTCACTTTATCTATTCTCTCTTCAGCTGTCTTATCTGTTTATATGCTGGTTGAATTTTTATGGTTCATTTTTATATTTTTTCATTTGTATACATCTACATGAAACTTTTTCAAATATGCTCAATCATTTGTAGTCTTTATTTTAACCTTGCTTTATTTTCAAACCTCTGTATTATTTCACTAAGCACATTAAATATTTTTGTTGGCTAGGTAATACTTTTTGCTAAACTTTCCATTTTGAGATAACCACAGATTTACATACAGCTGTCAGAAATAATAAAGAGAGAGTCTGTGTATTCTTTCCTTACTTTGTTTCATGAAAATAACTTGTAAAACTATGGTACAATATCACAGTAGGATATTGGCTTTGATGAAGTCAAGACAGAGAACATTTCCAGCCAGGAGTATCCCACATGTTGCCGTTATATACTTTGTTTACCATTTCTGTATCTTTGTCACTTCAAGAATTTATGTAAAGTCAGACAGTATGTAATCTCTGAAATAGATTTCTATTGGGTAATTCTCTGGAGCTTGATCCAGGCTGTCATATTATCAGTAGTTCATTCTCTTTTGTTATTGTTATGTTCCAGAATGCGAATACACCACAGTTTGTTTAGCCCTTCACCTGCTGAAGAACATCTGGGTTGTTTCCAGTTTGGGGATATTAGGAATAAAGCTACCATAATTATGCATCTACAATTTTTGTGTGAACATGGTTTTGCATTCTCTGGAATAAATGCCAGTGGGTGCAATTGTGGGGTCAGATGGTAGTTACATGTTTGACTTTTTTTTTATATATATGTGGCCCTGGGGCTTGAATTCAGGGCCTATACCTTGAGCCACTCTGCCAGCCCTTTTTGGTGTATGTTGGGTATATTCGAAATAGGGTCTTGCAAAGTATTTGCTGGGACTGGCTTCAAACCACGATCCTCCTGATCTCCGCCTCCTGAGTAGCTAGGATTACAAGCATGAGCCACTGGTGCTTAGCATGTTTGACTTTTTAAGAAGTTATTGAACTGTTTTGGAGAGTGATTGGACCATTCTATATTCCCACCATCAATGTCTAACGTTTGTCAGTGTCTCTGCCAGTATCTGGTATTGTCACTAGTTCTTACTGCAGCTGTCCTGAGAGGCATGTAGTGACAGCTCATTGTGGTTTCAATTTGCATTTCACTAATGGCTAATGATTTTTAGCATCTTTTCATGTGCTTATTTTTCATCTGTGTATCTTCTTTGTGATAGGTGTCTTCAGACTTTTTTTCCTATTTTCTAATGGGATCATAATTTTTTGTATTGCTGCTCTTTGAGAATTCTTTATGCATGAAAAATTAGCCTAAAGAATTCATCCTCGGGCTGCTGGATGGCTCAAGTGGCAGAGTTTCTGCCTAGTAAGTATGAGGCCCTGAGTCCAAACCCCAGTACTGCAAAAAAAAAAAAAAGAAAAATTCATCCTTGGTGGGCAGGGTTGTACATACCTATAATCCTGGATTCTCAGAAGACAGAGGCAATTTGAGGCCAGCCCAGTCAAAAATTTGAGACCCGATCTCAAAAGCTAGGCATGCCTGTAATCTCAGCTAGTTAGAGACAGAGGTAGGAAGATCGAGGTTCAAAGCCAGCCTGGACAAAGTTAACACAAAATCCTGTCTGAAAAGCAAATAAAAAGAAAAAGTACTGGCTGCATGGCTCAAGTATAGAGTGCTTGTCTAACAAGCACAAGGCCCTGAGTTCAATCCCAGTTACACACAAACACACACAAAATTTAAAAAAGAAAAAACTATTCATCCTTTCTGCACCGGTTTGAAATGCTCTTTTATTAAATTTTGGGTGTACATATATCTAGTAGGTATGAGACACTTTAATGCATGACCCTCTACACATGCACACACTCACCCCCCACAGATTCACTTTACAGTAATAAATTAACAATTAACAATAATTTAATTTAATATTTTAATTTTTAATTTGATTTAATAATAATTTAATAATACTAACAATAATTTAATAAACTTTATTTCTGTGTCAATTAGGAAATTCTTGATATCTTTATGAAAACTGAATCTTCCCATCCAGACATATATTATGGTTCTTCCTTTCTTTGCACCTTCTTTACTATCCATTAACAAAGTTTTATACTGAGTGTACATTTCTTACTACATTTATTCATATCTTCTTTATAGGTTTGTGCAATTTTTTGCTATTATTATTGCAGATCTAAAAAATCATTGGTTTAAATTGTTCACTATATAATTTTAATTGAATACAGTATTTAATAGTTCTAATAAATAATATTATTTTGTTAACATTATATAATTTCACCTTAAATTTTTCTTTGGTACAGTAATAATTCACTGCATATTGTCACTTTTTTTCTTTTTAATGTTCAAGAATTAGGGGCTTTACAAGTACTTTTGTAATTATTCTAATATTATTTTATTGTGCTCCATAATACAGTCCTATGTTATTTTTAATATTTATATAATGGAAATATTCTATGATTATATGTAAATATTTTAGGAGTATAAGTATATAGCGAGTTACAAGTGCTTGAAAACAAGACATGATCTTTATACAAAAAATTTAATTCACCTAATTTGTTTCTTAATTACTCCAACAAAACCACCATCAGTTAAAAATTTAGTTCTGGTAGACATATGTTTAAAATTGGAGTTCTGTGCATAGAAATCTACTCAATGGCTCAAAATAGCACAAGATTTTCCAAAAATAATTTTAAAACGAAGATATGCTCTTATGGACAGAAGCATTACAAAGTGAGAAAGTATAAACCTACATTGCTTAGGGCTGATGGAATGGCTCAAGTGGCAGAGCATCTGCCTGGGAACTGTGAGGTCCTGAGTTCAAAACCCAGTACAGACCTAAAAAAAAAAGCTGCATATCTTCTGGCAATTTTTTCTTCAATCAAGGCTTTCTAAAATATGAAAATATGACTAATACATTTAGCCAGTGTTACTTTTTCTCTCTCTAGTAAAATTTATACACACATGGAGGTGTAACACATGTAGCTTTAATTTGATCTTCAATATAATACACACACCAGAAGTGTATATGGATGCATATATGTACATTGTTTCCTTAATCTTTTGGAAACACTTTCAGCTCTCTTCTGCAGCACATAGTTAGATTTTGTTTTTCTCTCAAACTAACAGCCTTCTGTTCGTTTGATAGATGAATTTAACTTATTTACAATTGCTGCTGAAATCTGTGTATTTAGTGACACAGAATGGCTTATGGAGTGAGTAAATTCACAGAATATTATAGCTCTTCCTAACCAAATTGTATATTGCAACAATTTTACTTTTTTCTTATTTTAGTAGTTTGAATTATGACTTCTCAAGAGAAGACAGAAGAGTTTCCTTTAGCAGATATATTTGATGAAGATGAAATTGAAAAAAATTTTTTGTTGTCCAAACCTGTTTGCTTTGTTGTATTGGGGAAACCTGTAAGTTAACTCTTCTTATTTTTAGTATAAATTTTTTATTTTTAAAATCACAATCTTATAAGTTACCATATAAGAAGGGAAACTACATAGCGTACTAATTTTTTGAGTGTCTGTTAGACTTTCATTCTATCACTTAAAATCTGATATATTAGTTATAAATTCATAACTTTCTTCTTATATACTATAATTGAAAGACTACCTAGATTATATTTGTTTATGTATTATGAAGAAATTGACTTATCAAAACACTTCACCAAGTGGGCACTGGTGGTGCATGTAATCCTAGCTACTCAGGAGGCAAAGATCAAGAGGATCTTGGTTCAAAGCCATCCCAGGCAAATAGTTCCGTGAGCCCCTATCTGGAAAAAAACATCACAAAATAAGCTGGCAGAGTGGCTTAAGGTGTAGGACCTGAGTTCAAGCCCCAATACCACACACACAAAAAAAAGACTGCACCATAATAATTTGATTTTCCAGTAAGAAAGGCTTCCTCAAACAGGACTGGGGATGTAGCTCAGTTGTAGAGTGCTCGCCTAGGTTTGCCTGGATTCAATCTCCATCCCTGAAAAAAAAAAAAAAGACTTCCTGAGATATTTGTTGTAAGGCTCTCTGGATATGTGAAGTTATGACATCACTGAGTTGGATCCTATCCTTGACTTAATTTAGAGGAACCCTGGGTCAGAAATGTTTCCAACAATTTTCATTACCCTTCTAAAAACATAATTCAGTTTTTTTCATGGTCATAATACAGTTTTCAAATTCAACACTGACAGCAACCAGATATGAATTGTACTTTATAGAAGTGATCCTTTGTTTTTATTTTTTTCTTTACATGATGATACTTTCCAAAGATACCAGTTAAGGATTTATTTGCTCTTCAAAATTGCTAAATGGAAGTCTGTCGAAATACTCATTTTCCTTAAAGAAGGAAATAAAACAATGGACCTCAATCTATATCACAATGATTTATAATCAGAATTACAAAATTTGACAATCGAAGTAGTGCAATATAATGGTATACCTCCCCTATTTCATGTACAGCATTCCTGATTTTCTTAATTTGAAAATTTTATTTAAATCACTTTAGGATATATGACATAGGCAAGAATTAGTAGAGAAAATGAAGTCATAAGTATATAGGGTGTACTCTTCATTTTTATAAGAAAAACATTTATGTAATAGTAGTCATCAGTAGAATGTTTAAGTTGATATATCTGTTTCACAATGAAATGACTGTTCTGTTAGGTTTTAAATAACATTTCTCTTTTCAAGGGTGTTGGGAAGACAACATTAGCCTATCACATAGCACAGGCATGGAAATGTATTCGTGTTGAAGGTAAACTTTATCTTTATCCCCAATATTTTATCATGAAAACTTTCAAGTATACATAAAATGGAAAGAACTGTACAACAAATGCCCATCTACCCACATCTAGATCCCATAATTATCATTATGTCATATTTGCTTTATCAGAGATCTGACCATGTATCAACCCTGTTAATATTAGCTTTATAAACCATCAAGCCAATCACGATTTGCCCATCTGGTAGTCCTCATTTTTTTCATAGTATTTAGAAGGGTTTATTAAATGTCATGACTACATTCTTACTATCTCCAATGATTTAATTCCATAATTTAGAACTATTTGTGATATTATATGTGTTTTGAGTGTGTTATGAAAGATAAGAAGGGAAGGAACTCTTGCAGCTTTTCTTGAGAGAATTTTCCAGAACTTAATGATCTTCAGTGAATTAATTCCCTTGAATTATCTTCAACTGGACTGTTTACTTATAAATTTCCTTACGTTCTTTGCAATATGTAAGACAACAAGTTGATTATGTACATATGTATATATACCCAGATATACACATTATATTCATTCTTTTAATCAGTAATTTATTTCCTTAAAGGAAAAAAATGAATAGAAAATTCATAAAAGTGGAAAAAAAATACATGCTATAAGAAAAAAAGTGTTTGATTTCACTAACTTTAATAAAGAAATAGTAATTAAAATAAAATTGATCTAAGGCCAGGCATGGTAACTCACATCTGTAATCCCAGATACTTGGGAGGTAGAGATCAGGAAGATCACAGTGCAGGCAAAAAGTTCACCAGATCCCACACCAATAGCTAGGTGTGGCTGCATGTGCTTGTCATCCTATCTATGTGGGAAGCACAAATAGGAGGATCTTGGTCCAACCCAGCCCAGGTATAAATGCAAGACACTATTCCCAAATATCTAAAACTAAAAAATCTGTGGTCTAGCTAAAGTAGTACAGCACCTGCCTAGCAAGCACAAGGCCCTGAGTTCAAACCCCAGTGCTGCCAAGAAAAATAAAAACACCGATTCATATTTACCTATCAAATTGGCAGTGAATCTGTAAAATTACTGCAATCATTGTTGGCAAGGATGTTATGAAATGGACATTCCATATGCCATTGGTAAAACTGAGATCTGGTACAATTGTTTTGGAAAACAACTTGGTCACATATTACACACACATAAAGAACTCCAAAATTTTCTTCTTTTTTGATAAAAAAATTTCACTTCGAGAAACTTAAATAATACAAAACATCCCACAGATTATTAACAGCTAGTGATATAATTCAATTACCGAGTCCTCCTGTAGGTCAAGCCCCTGTCATTCCTACCCAGGATGTTTTTCATCAAGAAATGGCACATTTCCTCTAAAATGTAAATGGGTCATTGGAATTTCAGCCTCAGGACCCCGCTTTTGAACCTGTTTATCCATTTAGACGTTACTTGATGCTTATTTTGCCTTTATACTTTTAGTGTGAAAAACTAATGGCTTCTGACATAATTGGTTCTAAAAGGATCTAGACTAATACTACTACTATATGCTGTGTACAGCACGTTATAATTTACAGACCACTGCCACATGCACTACCTCATTTCACCCCCGCACTCTCTTCCGTATCTCACAGAGCACACACTCGAGAGTGAATTCTACCAGGGCACTTTAGCTCGTGGAATAGCAGGGACAAGTTCTCTGTGGAATACATCTTGCTGCTTCTACTTTAGTTAGGCTTAAATGACATAATGTACAGAAATATGCCTTATAAATTCTAGAGTGAGTGATATACAAATGTTCATCTTTGCTGTCAATTGCAAGACACGTGGAATGAATTTCTGATTTTGATAATCCTAATTCCAGCACTTGTGCTAATATTTTAAATTCATCTTTTAGGTTTATCAGTTTTGGAAGAACACATTGCTGCTGAAACTGCACCAGGAGCTGTGGTAAAGAAATCTAAATTTCAAAGTTACTATGATTATAAGTAAGGCTCTGTATCACATATTGGTTACACAGTAATGGACGATACCTGTGTTTGTTCTTAGTTGCAATCGATGCTGGTCAAAGGTCACAGTATACCAGATGAAGTTGTCATGAAGCTAATACTAGAGAAACTCAACTCCTCAGAAGTCTCTCACTTTGGTATGTTCATTCTCCTTCATCTATAGCAAAACAGTTTCTGGTGTTCCTCTTTCTTTTGCCTTGGCACAGGAATCTCAGAGTCTGTATTCGGATGAGTAACTCACATAGTCTTGCTTTTATCCTCCAGAGTCTATTTGTTTAAAAACAAGACTTAAATTTGTATGATTCAATCTTATTTAGCATTGTGGTATCCAAAGAAAGAATCAAAAATGTGCTGTGGCTCCTCTTAGAGCATCTCTACCTTCTGGTGACTGCTTCTCCATTCATCCTGGATTAGCACTAAATCCTGCCAATGGTTTTGTTCCTCTGCATTAATCCTTATTTAAAGGCAGGAATGGGAATTGGAATGGCACTAGCTTGCCTTAAGGCTACAGATTGTTCATCCAGTCTGCTTTCTAACTCCAGACCCAAAAAGTATCCTTTTATTCAAATGGATGCCAAGCAAGGGTTTTGCAAGACAGAGATCACTGAAGCACAGCATGACTAAAAAGCAAAGAGAGAGGTCTAAGACATTTGCAAAAGATGAGAAGAAGAATAAAGATGAGCTTGGGAGAAAGTCACCCATCTGATTCTGGGGATTTTTTAAATTTCCCCATATTTCTTTGATGACCTATTAATCATTCAAAAATGTATTGTTAGATTCCATGTATTTGAATATTTTCTGTAGTTTCTCTTGCTGTTGGTTTCTAGTGTTATTCCATGTGGTCTGATAAAATATAGAATTGAAAAGTTATTTTAATTTTCTTATATTTTTAAGACTTGCTTTATGTCCTAAAATATGATCTATTTTGGAGAAAGTTCTGGGGGCAGCTGAAAAGAATGTGTGTTCTTCAGCTGTTGGACAGAATATTCTATACATATCTGTTACTTCCATTTAATCTATAGTGTTGTCTAATTCTGAAGTTTCTTTGTTGACTTTTTTTGTCTGAATAACCTATCTATTGGTTAGAGTAGGGTATTGAAGTCACATACTATTATTGTATTGGGGTTTATCTGTGCTTTTATGCCCAGTAGTAGTTGTTTTATGGAATTGTGCACCAATGTTCAGTGTGTATATGTTTACAATTGTTATCTCCTCTCAATGGATTTTTTGCTTTATCAGTATGAAGTAACTTTCTTTGTGAAGTCTATTATACTTGCTTTTGGGCTCCATTTGCTTGGAATATCTTTTTTATCCTTTCACTTTAATCCTATATGTTTCTTTACCAGGAGGTTAAATTCTTATAGGCAACAAATGGTTGGATCTTATTTTTTAATCCAATCACCAGTCTGTGTCTTTTGTTTGGAAAATTGAGACTATTAACATTCAGAGTTACCACAGAAAGGTATCTAGTAATTCCTGCCATTTTGTGATTTTTTTTAAGTGTTTGATTCTTCCCCAGTTCTTCATTTGCTTATCTACTCATCTAGTGAAATTTATTCTTTCCTATATTTTCATGATAACTTTTATCTTCTCTTAGGTATGGAAGATTATAGTAAGACTCTTCTGCAAGGCTGGCTTAGTTTTTGTTTTGCATGGAACTTTTTAGTTTGCTTTGAATTATAAAGAATAACTTTGCTGGTACAGTAATCTAAGTTGGCAGGATTTCTTTCAGGATTTGAAATACATCATTCCATGCCCTCATTGCTTTTACAATTTCTTTTGAGAAGTCTGCTGTTGTTCTGGTGGGTTTGCCTTTATAGGTGTCTTGGTACTTCTCTTTTGCAGCTTTCAATATTCTTTCCTTGTTCTGTATACTCAATGTTTTAGCTATAAGATGACATGGAGAGATTCTTTTCTGGTCTTGACTATTTGATGTTTTTAAAGTCTCCTGTACCTGGATGCCTTGTTTTTCTCAAGGTTTGGGAAGTTTTCTGCTATTGTTATTATTATTATTATTATTATTATTATTATTATTATTTTAAATTTATGTTAATCATGCAAGGAGGTTTCATTGTGACAATTCCATAGACATGTGCTGTGTACTTTGAACATGTTCTTCCCCTCTATTATATTCCCTTAACCCCTCTTCTGTTCTTTTTCATGCTTTTATTTTATTTTATTGGCAGCACTGGAGCTTGAACTCAGGGCTTCACACTTGCAAGGCAGGCACTCTACCACTTGAGCCACTCAACCATCTCTTCTCTTCTTTTTCAAACAGTATTGGTGGGTTTTATTACACTATCTTCATGTGTGTGCATGTGTGTGTATGACATATTTCAAACCTTTTCACCCCCCAGTACCCTCTCTTTTCCCCTCCTTCTAATCCCCCAGACAGTTCCCCTTTGACATTCACGTCCCATTATTATCATGATTATTATTAATAATATTTTAGATAAAGATGCCAAATATGAGCAAAAACATGGAATATTTAGCTTGTTAAGCCTGACTTATCTCACTCAAAACAATGATCTCCAATTTCATCCAATTTCCTGCAAATAACATAATTTCATTCTTTATCCATTCATACCTCCAGTATTACTCTTTTTTCCTCAGGATTGTTTTTGCTATTCAGAGTTTTTTATGTTTCCATATGAATTTTAGGTTAGATTTTTCTAATTTTGTGAAGAATGACATTGGCATTCTGATGGAATTGCATTGAATCTTTACATTGCTTTTGGTACAGTATTTATTATGAGGGTCAATGTACATGGGAGGTTTTTGTTTTGTTTTGGTTTTTTTTTGTTTGTGTTGGGTATTTTCTTTTTTTTTATTGTTTTATTATTCATATGTGCATACAATGCTTGGGTAATTTCTCCCCCCTGCCACCACCCCCTCCCTTACCACCCACTCTGCCCCGTCCCTCTCCCCCCCACCCCCTCAATACCCAGCAGAAACTATTTTGCCCTTATCTCTAATTTTGTTGAAGAGAGAGTAGAAGCAATAATAGGAAGGAACAAGGGTTTTTGCTAGTTGACATAAGGAGAGCTATACAGGGAGTTGACTCACATTAATTTCCTGTGCATGTGTGTTATCTTCTCGGATAATTCTTTTTGATCTAACCTTTTCTCTATTTCCTGGTCCCCTTCTCCTATTGGCCTCAGTTGCTTTTAAGGTATCTGCTTTAGTTTCTCTGCATTAAGGGCAACAAATGCTAGCTAATTTTTTAGGTGTCTTACCTATCCTCACCCCTCCCTTGTGTGTTCTCACTTTTATCATGTGCTCAAAGTCCAGTCCCCTTGTTGTGTTTGCCCTTGATCTAATGTCTGCATATGAGGAAGAACATATGATTTTTTTGGTCTTTTGGACCAGGCTAACCTCACTCAGAATGATGTTCTCCAATTCCATCCATTTACCAGCAAATGATAACATTTCGTTCTTCTTCATGGCTACAAAAAATTCCATTGTGTATAGGTAGCACATTTTCTTAATCCATTCGTCAGTAGTGAGACATCTTGGCTCTTTCCATAACATGGCTATTGTGAATAGTGCTGCAATAAACATGGCTGTGCAGGTGCCTCTGGAGTAACCTGTGTCACAGTCTTTTGGGTATATCCCCAAGAGTGGTATTGGTGGATCAAATGGTAGATCAATGTTTAGATTTTTAAGTAGCCTCCAAATTTTTTTTCAGAGTGGTTGTACTAGTTTACAGTCCCACCAGCAGTGTAAGAGGGTTCCTTTCTCTCCGCATCCTCGCCAACACCTGTTGGTGGTGGTGTTGCTGATGATGGCTATTCTAACAGGGGTGAGGTAGAATCTTAGTGTGGTTTTAATTTGCATTTCCATTATTGCTAGAGATGGTGAGCATTTTTTCATGTGTTTTTTGGCCATTTGAATTTCTTCTTTTAAGAAAGTTCTGTTTAGTTCACTTGCCCATTTCTTTATTGTTCATTAGTTTTAGGAGAATTTAGTTTTTTAAGTTCCCTATATATTCTGGTTATCAGTCCTTTGTCTGATGTATAATTGGCAAATATTTTCTCCCACTCTATTTGTGTTCTCTTCAGTTTAGAGACCATTTCTTTTGATGAACAGAAGCTTTTTAGTTTTCTGAGGTCCATTTATCTATGCTATCTCTTAGTTGCTGCGCTGCTGGGGTTCCGTTGAAAAAGTTCTTACCTATACCTACTAACTCCAGAGTGTTTCCTACTGTTTCCTGTGTCAACTTTAGAGTATGGGGTCTGATATTAAGATCCTTGATCCATTTTGAGTTAATATTGGTATAGGGTGATATACATAGATCTAGTTTCAGTTTTTTGCAGACTGCTAACAGTTTTCCCAGCAGTTTTTGTGGAAGAGGCTGCTTTTTCTCCATCATATATTTTTAGCTCCTTTGTCAAAGACAAGTTGGTTATAGTTGTGTGGCTTCATATCTGGGTCCTCTATTCTGTTCCGCTGGTCTTCGTGTCTGTTTTTGTGCCAGAACCATGCTGTTTTTATTGTTACCGCTTTGTAATATAGTTTGAAGTCAGGTATCATGATACCTCCAGCATTGTTCTTTTCACTGAGTATTGCCTTGGTTATTCGTGGCCTCTTGTGTTTCCATATAAATTTCACAGTAGATTTTTCAATCTCTTTAATGAATGTCATTGGAATTTTGATGGGAATTGCATTAAACTTGTAGATTACTTTTGGGAGTATAGACATTTTTACTATGTTGATTCTACCAATCCATAAGCATGGGAGATCTCTCCACTTTCTATAGTCTTCCTCAATCTCTTTCTTCAGAAGTTTATAGTTTTCCTTATAGAGGTCATTCACATCTTCTGTTAGGTTTACACCTAGGTATTTGATTTTTTTTGAGGGTATTGTAAATGGAATTGTTTTTATACATTCTTTTTCAGTTTGTTCATTATTAGTGTTTAGAAATGCTAATGATTTTTCTATGTTGATTTTATATCCTGCTTCCTTGCTGTAGCTATTGATGATATCTAGAAGCTCTGAGTAGAGTTTTTTGGGTCTTTAAGGTATAGGATCATGTCATCTGCAAATAGGGATATTTTGACAGTTTCTTTACCTATTTGTATTCCTTTTATTCCTTCTTCTTGCCTAATTGCTCTGGCTAGGAATTCCAGTACTGTGC